CAGTTATGATGTTTATGTGCAGAGGGAGAGAAAGAAACCTAAACAAGACTGGAAGCTCAAATGTTTAGTTTGGCTTATTACTTATGTGAGGTCCATTATCAGGTAAATCATTGATCTTTGTGCTGTAGACACAGGAATATAAGCCATACATTATGTGTAGTATAGTAGAGGTTACAGACTTTGATTAAGATGATTTATATTTCAGTCCTAATTCCACATCCTATGTTGACCTTAGTAACACTGTTGAAATGATATAGAACCCTGTAGATTTTTTGACACCCAATGAATATGCCAATGAAAACATAGTTTAAAAGTGTAGTTTAGAATATTCAAATAAAAGATATTTCTATTTAAATTATTAGTATATGATATTGGTCAGTTGTTCAGGTGATCCTTAATGGCTGTTACTGATATAAAAATTTGTCTATTACTATTTGTAAGACTATAAATGTCTTTTATGTTCTTTTCTAAAGAACATAAATAAATGCCAGCTTATTTAAATATGGTTTCTAAGGTTATTGGAAGAAAGGGTAGTGATGAGAATTGAATATGAAGAAACAGAACTACTTTTTGAAGGGCTTTAATTCAAGAAAAAAAATACACATTGTTGCTTCTTTAAAATAAAATCTCCTTGACTATAGTAAGAAGAATGTTATTGGAGGTAAAACTAGAAGTAGGGAGAGCGCTTTAGGAAACTGAGGTAAAAGCCAGGGGAGTATCAGAAAGCAGGATGGTGGTGTTTTAACAGTGTGATAGCCATAGAAAGGGAAGTTCCAGTTTCTGTGCCCTACCCAAGGAAGGGTGGAACAGAGCACGGAGAAGCTAGGAAAGACATGCAAGGCTAAAAGAAGACATGGAGGATGCAAGTGGAGCAGACACATATGAAGAAGCTGTGCTTGCTTGAAGGCTTTGGTCTATTACAAGGGAGTTAGGTGAAGGAGACACTGGAAAGAGACATTTTGGTGAGGTAACTGAGGGGAGGCTGACAATGGCCACCCTTATCTTGATTTGATTTTGCTCCTTTCCTTCTATATTTGCTGGTTTCCTCTGCCCCTTTTTGTATGTCTCCACCAGAATATACCTTAGACTTAGCAAGTTTTTGGGCCTCAGCTCTTCTGCTTTGGGCCAACCCTATTTATTCATGCAGGGATTAGTAAATTTGAGTGCTTAATTGGCAATCTTTTTTTTTTTTTAAAGATTTATTTATTTATGCCTACAGAACTGAGGTACAGGTCAGATGTGCAGGGGTGGTGAGAGTATTCACCAAAGACAGAGTGGGAAGCAGGACAGGTAGATCGATGAAGTACACTGCTGAGGGAAGCAGTGGGTGAGACAGGAGAGGTCTGCTGTGCCATGTGGGTCACCCCTTGGAGGGGTGGAGATGAACTCATGCTGAAGTGGCTTCAGCCTCCTAGTGCTGGGCTTTACTGCCAGCAGTGAGGGCCCTAATTGGAAACTATTTCAATTATTCATTTCCTTTTTCCCTCCCTGTCGAGTCCCCTTCCCTTTCTTCTGCCCTCCTCTCTTTTCTTCTCTCCCTCTATTGCATACTAATTGTAGTAAAGTTCTTTTGAAGTCTTAAGCACTATAGAGTTTTGTCTTTACACAGTGGGTGGCAGAATCTATTTTAGTATGTAGGTTTAGGGATTTTGTGGTGCCCCTTATCCTGTTTAACAGTATTGGAGATAAAGATATAACATGAGTTTCAAGAAGCATTAACATATTAATAAATGAAGGAGTAGAAGGAATTGGATTTAAAGACTGTTTGACTCTGGCAAGGAATAAAGTTGATGGAGATAACCATAGCATAGCTCAATGTTGGGCAATTGTAAGATTATTGGAATAGGGATATACAGTCAGAAAATTGTGGAAAAGAAAATTTTACACATATAGTGCTTGTGAAGCTTGGAGATTCCAAGTAAGTGCATCTAATAAATAAAAATCTTAGCAGAGAGGATCTGCAGGAATGTAGAGTAACAAGAGTAAAAGGCCCTTCTGAAAAATGACCTGAATTTAAGGAATTGAAAGATAAAACTGAGATTGGAAGTACTTTTGCCAACACAGTATTATTAAGAAGTTTTTACAGCTAGGATTCTGGAAATGGAAAAGTGAAAGGATTTGGAGTAGACTATTTGGGTTTAAGCTTTGGCTCTCCTGTTTATTAACAATGTGACTTTGAGAAAGTTAACCCTTCTTAACCAACTGTAAAACGTGATAAACTGAGTTAATAATTATCAGCATTTTATATGTAAAGTTTTGTGAAAATGTTATTAGTATTATGAGAATAAGCTAATTAGAGTTATGTTTTCTTAGGGTTTTAGATATACAGGGATCCATGGGTCTTAGAGATATACTGAAAAGGACAAAAACTTTTACAAAGTTCAGAAATCTGACTTTGAATAAAGCTTAAACAAAATATTAGTAATAATGTTACACACAGTGAACCAGGAGAATGCATATAGTTTTTATGGTATAAAACAAAATGTAGCAATTTATGTGACAAATACATCATGAAAATATAAATATTTATTATTCATGAGGATATATGAAATAGCTGAAAACTCAAGTGTAAGAAATCTAGTAATTTACACAAAACTGCATTTTCTGAAAAAAATCATAGACAGCACTAGTCTTGAAAACTCCGAGGTGTACACAGCTATGTGAATATTTTCTCCTGCCATAGGCAGTGCTCCCAGAGGGCCATGGAATTCTTTCTGGCTACCTGCTCATACACATTCCTGAAGTGGACAATGGTCTGAACCAATGCAGTTCCTTGCGGTCTGGATTTGCATACATCATTAGGACATCTTTTCTGGACAGTTCCAAACCCTCCAAACTGCTTGGCACTAGTATATTCAAACTTGTTTCATAAACATAAGTAAATCCAGCAAAAAAGCAAAATGACTCTTAGCAGTAAAGCTGCCGGGTAAATGGCATTTAAATCGTTTTTATCCCCACTGATGGAGATGACTTCAGTTCACTGCTGAAACTGAAAGCAGTAATAAATATTTATAAGGGGCTCTACTGAGGTGTTCAAAACATCACACTGTTCCAATAGACTACAATTTCAGGCTAGAGTAAAATGAGCAGGATAAAAAACAAACACAAATAAACTTCAGACTAGATCATTTGTACACTTTACCCCATTCTAAAAGAGATACGAGTACCATTTTCAATTTCTACCTCTGGATAGAACTTTCACATTACTAAAAATGAAACTACTTCAAAAGTGGTTACAAGAATGTTCTTAATCCATCAGGGCTGAGACAAGAAGTTGGTTTGCTCTATTCCCATGCATTCAGGAGTGGACAGCTAAGACATTTTCATGCTTTATGCTGCAGTTGTCGCTATCAGACTTCTAGTTAGAAAAGGGTTTCCAATAGAAAAAAAAAAAAGGCTTCTTTGTAAATTTAACATCTGTTTTCAAAATTTCATAGTAGTTCCTATTATTCTATAGAGCATCATTCTAACGGGAATTTTATAAAGGGGATCCACTGTTCAATGTTCTGCTTAGCAATGAAAAATCAGGAATTGTTGAAGGAAGAGTTAAAAGTGCTATTTCTACCAATGAGGATTATTTATACCCATATCCTTCAGTGGATATCCTTCAGTGACAATAGAAGGAGGAATGTGTCTGTTACCCTATGTAACATTCAAATGTTCACATTATAGTTGAAAAAAAATTCACATAACAAAAAGAATTCTGATTACTCATTTTTTCCCAGGACATTTTTATTATTAGAATGACTTTCCTTTTGGCATTTCTAATTGGGTCAAATAAATCACATTATTTGAAAATCTATTGTATTTGATAATACACTGCATTCCCTCTTTCAGAAGCAGTTTTGAATTTTAACCTTGAATGTCTTGGTAAGACAAAGGGCTGAGTATAGCATAGAAAAGCAAAGCAAAAACAAAACATCATTTTCATAATGAATTTATTTTCATGAGTGTCTTCTCTCTCATTAATTCTCCTTAACCAGTGAGGCTTTCTTTGAATGTCTTGACTCTCAGCAACATTAACCCATCTCCTCAAAATATACCCCATGTCTCCGACTCTCTGTCCCTTGGTGTCAAAGCTTCCACACTTTTGGACCTTATGGAATACCCCTCCAAATCTGTACTGAAATCCAGTTTACTTGCTCTTTGTTCTTAATTCCTTTGCAAGTGCTTTTGGTTAGCACTGAGATCTAGATCTTTGACATTTGCAAACAGATATTCTTAATTTTGCACTCTGGATTATTCTGCCCTGAATATTTTCCAATTAAAGAAAACTACCTCTTTTAAGTGCAGCTTAAAATTTCACATGAATTTCACTCAGCAACCACTACTCCCATGTCACACATACAGAAACTAGTAATTGGTTCTCATCTCTAATAAAATTTGCATTGTGGAACTTTTATTCTAAATAATTAATGAACTTTTATCTAATATCTTAGTGTATTCACATTAGCAACACAGTTTGAGGACCTGTTATTCACTGTTATGTAAGATTTAACTGACCTTATTTGGCTCCTTAGCAAATTTATACTTTGCCCTTCTATCTCATGGTCTCTATTGTTCTATTCTCTCCTATTTTCACTCAAAACCTTAATTTGGCCTTGGAAAGGATTCTTTAATCGCTTTACCAACTAAGTCAAACATGTGAGATTCTAATTCTTTTAGTCTTCCGTGGATATTAAACAAGTGAAAATTCGAGAAACAAAGATTGATAAAATCAGTCAAGTAATAAAAACAGATATTATATGATATGGAACTATAAATTTGAAGAAAAAATAACCATATGTATGTGTGTTTGTCAGTTCTGCATGTATGTGTATATATACAAACACACAGATGATACCAAACTATGAAAGTTTACATCTAAATATAAAATTAAGTCTTTTTTTTTGTGCTTTTTACTTATGCATCATTAATACTAAATAGGGAATGGAACTTGGCTTTTTCCATATTTCAAAAAACTTTATCAAGGTGCTAATAAATACATAAAACACAAAACAGAAAATAGATAAAGCTTTTAATATATTGTTATATTAATTTTTATTAGAATATATTCATGGCATTTGAAATGATCATTTCTGAATAGGCTAATCTATTTACATGTAGCTATTCACCTGGCAACTTAAATCTAATTAAATCAATCATTTACTTGGATATTAATTTTCCCTGAGTACAGGATTAATTACCCAAAACTTAATATATCTTCATTTTGTTGATACTTTGTATTCTACTTTACTATCCTAATTTAGTGAAAAACTGAAATTTTATGACATAATTTTTGAATCTGTATTAAAAATACATCTGAAGTAAAACTGAACCTAAAATCATCATATTTCATAATAATCAAGGCACATTATTTCCTATATACTCAAGTAGCTTAAATTTTATTATGTCCTTTCATATCCTGTGTAAGTCTTAACTCTGTTTAAGTCCTGGTAGTAATACATTTTTACCCATAAGAAATAATTCATCAATAAGAAAACCATCAGTAAAATACAGTTTTATCTATGAAAATTATTTAAGTCAAATAAATTTTAGTATCTGAAGTTTTTAGTTAACAATATTTGATAAATTATCAACTTCTTTTCATTCATTATAATATTGTACATATACTTAGTAAGAGCTTCTAATTCCTTTTAGGAGAACCCTACACTCACCAATTAAGTTATTTAGTTGTAATTATAATTAATTGTATTAAATTATGAACTCTAATTATGTAACTTTTGCCAATTAGCTAATTAACTGATTGGCCTTTAATGAAATTCACCTTTTAGGGTTTCCTTTTCCTTATCTATATAAGAAGGGCCTCTTCCAGTCCTAACACACACTAAAATCATATAAATTTATACATTTAGAGACTATCTTTTAAAATAATATTTAAACAGCCTTAAAAATGATTGTGCTTAATGCAAAATTGTGAGCTACTATAATTTATTTTGTCTAGAATCTTCTAGTGTTCTACCAATACTTACTTTTTAAAGGCTTCTTAGAATTTCTTGAAATAAGATCTTGTTTTTGAATTTAAGGAAGAGGTCCCAGACATAATGGAATGCTCTCACTTAAGCTCTCTTCCATAAAGGAATGATATTCTGATCGCCAGTAGAGCTGTTAAGAGAAAAATTCTAACACTGACTTAAATGGAGTAGTAGCAATACAATTATAGTATCACTGCCAGACCAATGGAAACAGAAGAAAAGTGGATTACAATGGGAAGAACAGAAGGCATTACAAATAATAGGATGTCTATGGCAATTAAAGAACTGGAAAATAAGCTCAAAACTCATTCAAATGATTTTGTCTCATTTTTCAGAAAAGAACTTAAGTGACTGGGCTAATCTTATAAGAGATGCTGGAATTTAGTAATATTTACACTTTAGAATGTACTTTTCTACCTCATGATGCTTTTATTAGAAACATGGTTTTATGAGTTAAAGTTGTAGAATACAACCAAAACAAATGTTCTGAGCAGGTTTACTCAGATTTAATAAAATGTGAAGCAGTAATGTAATTAATAAAAATATGAATTCAGTGGTTAAGTTAAAATTATACTTTGAAAATATTTCAAATGTCCAATATATTTTGTGTTGAGACACACTAACGAGCGCAAGACATTTTAATTTCACTTGAGAAATAAATGGTATTAAAAATCAATTAATATTCAGCCCAGTTATTTGATTTAGAGATTGGGGTTCATTCCAATCCAGTGTTTGATTAACTGATGTGCAATAGCTCGGCTTGGTGGCACAAAGAAAGCCTGCTGCTTCCCTTTGGTCAGAACATCCACAACCTAAAACATACCATAAATAAAATGCATTAGAATTTCAACACTGTCATACCTGAAGACTGTTTCTGTGCTCATACAATTCAACTAAAATGTGATGACTTAATAATGAAAACAAGAATAGAATATACAAAATTTAGTATAGAAAGTTTTAGCTGTTTCAATGGACTAGTGATTCAATTTAAAAATTATTTCAGAAAGGCATATTCCCTTATGAAAATAAAGTCATGAAAAAAAATTATATGATCCACACTTATTTACAAAGTGAACGCAACATTTACAACAGATTCCGTTTTATAACATTCTGAAAAAAAAAATCCAATTTTCTATGTATAACATAATTTTCTCTATGTAAAGTGAAGTATATTTAGGTCTTCACTAGGGTGATGTCTCCATTTTGTTTCTATGTAAATATTCCAGGTCATGCAAACACACACAAGTAATCTATCTTTTGGTATTTTACTCAGGGATGTTATTTTAAAAGTTCTTGTGAATTTTGTTATTCTTGTAATTAAGGACATTTAAAAATGAACAAAACATTCAAAAATTTTCATTTTTCTTCCCTGATATTTTTTGGTAGCTACTTGTTTTAATGCTAACGCTGAAGTAAGTAAAATAAGTATAAAATATCTAAATATAACATTCCTGTTTCTCATCTGAGATACAGTATGTATTTATTTAGGTTAGGCCCATGAAAAGGTCTATCTGAAGGAATGGCATTTACAATTAGAAAGTGGCACAGGATCACCTGAGTTAACATGGTACATATCAATTTCACTGCAACCCATGCATGATGAGAGGCCACAGCCATTCATTCAACTTGCTGAAAACATGTATCCTTGCTGCATGCTCAAACTGATACAGCCAGAGAACAATCAATAGAAGAAGGAAATTAAATTGAACTTTACCTGTTCTCTAGTGAACCAGCGGGCATCCTCTATTTCATTCTTGTCAACTTTAATTTCTGTAGACACTGCCACAGCTAAGCAACCAATCATTAAGGAGGAGGGCATTGGCCATGGTTGACAAGAGACATACTGAACATGGCCAACTTTGACTCCACTTTCCTCCTCTACTTCTCTCCGAACAGCATCTTCTATTGTCTCCCCTAATCAAATGGAGCAAAAGAACAAGTAGTTGATGAACATGCCCTGGACATTTTGTGTTCTGAATGGTTCAAACATTTGGAAATCACTTTGGACAGAAACCTAATTCAAAGGATCAGAAAGTAGAAGCCTATCACTAGATTGGAATTCAAGAAAACATTTTTTTTTTTTTTTTTAGTATAAAACCACAGACAGAATCAAAATACTAAAACACTTTCATTTCTTAAAGGTCCAAGTTTGTTAGTTATGCTAACATTTTAAGTTATACCATCTACAACTATACAGTACCTACTATTGGCTAAACACTAGGAAAAACTTTACTAGCACTCAATAGTTAAAAATCATCATTATATGATTTTTATAAACAGCTTGTCTCTTCCTCACTAAAAATGTAAAACTCTTTCCTTCTAATGTTAATTACAGTACTAAAAATCATACAGTAATGAAAATCATATGGTTTTAAGAAAAAACATACACCAAAAGTTTTAAAACAAGTTTTACTTTTAAAACTTTAAAAGCACATTATTTTTCTTTCTAAATAATTATTTTCCTCTAGATAACTTTGATTCAGCTTTAATAAAGCAGTGATACTTTTAAACATACTTTGTATTTCTTATTTGGCAGAATGAAAATTAGAAAAAAAGTTTTTAAGTTTATCTGAAAGTTTAGAAATATTTTGCTATTTAAATATAGCTTTCTATTTGAAACAGACTGACATATTTCCTATATTAAAATTAACAACTGAAGTTCATTAACGATAGAGTGGAAAGACAGGTCACAGACACAAAATATCAGCAAGATCATCACTAAGTACTGGCGTATAAGAAAGGATAAACAACCAAGACAAAAATAGGCCCAAAATATAAGCATGTAAAATTCAGAGAAAAAGAAAATTGGATGTCAAATGCACATTTGGAAAAGATGCATAATCACTAGGGCGATGAGCATGACAACTACAAAGACACATTTATAGCCATCAAACAGTACATTAAAAAGTCGGAAAATCCTAACTTGGTGAAGATATGGAATCACAGAACAAGAGGTAGTACAAGTTGGCAGGTGTATTTTCGGAGTGCAACTTGACAATATCTAGAAAAAATTAAGATGTTTATATACAACAAACTAGCAATTCTACACTCAAATAAATACCCCGGATATCTCTTGTAAATGTGCAGTAGAGCAGTATACAAACATTTATTGCAGTATTGTTTGTAATAACAGGAACTCTGAAAAAATCGGATTCTCCAGCAATAGCATTGATTAATGAACTTGATAATATTCAAAATGGAATGCAGCACAGCAGTTAAAAAGTTTAAAAGGCAATGACTTAGAGCTGCTAGAGGCAGCATAGTAGCTGAGTATGGACTTAGGCCAAACTGCCCAGGTTTGAATTCTTGTACTATCACTTAATTCCTGTTTGATCTTGGGCAACTTATTCAGCCCAAGATCAGTGTCCCATCTGTAGGGCTGCTATAACAATATTTACTTTATGAGGTTATATGAGAATCATACAATTTACCATATGAACAGCCTTTGGATCAGGGGTAACACTACAAGTTTACTACTCATATTACCTGTTGATGTAGACTAATGTTGGAAGTTGAGATTAAACATTAAACATATATTCATTTATCTACTCAACATAAGTATACTGAATCCTACCTCCTATGAGACAACATTTTAATGGCTTTGGATATAATATTGATAAGTAACTTCCCTACCCTTATGGAACTTTTTGTCATAAGCAGAAAAAATAATATGTAAATAGGTAGAGAAAGATATACATATACCAATGCCCTACTAGGTGGTGATGAGTACTGTAGGAAAAAACCTGGCAGGATGACAAGGACTGAGCTGGAAGGCTCATGGGTTTAAAAGTATTTGTGACAATCAGAAAAAACCTCATTCAAAAGGAAACAGTTGAGCTTAGTACAGAAGAAGCGAGACAAATCAAGCAGATACTCTGGTAAAGATCAATATGTAAAAGAATAAATGATAAAGTTTTAATAAAATTTTTCCAATATTAAAACAAAAATTATAATTAAAAATTTACAAAATATTTTAAAATAGTCCAGTTTTATAACAGAATGACATTATTTCTCCAAAATTACTTAAATTTCTGATTTTTGTTTGGTTTTGGAAATTAAATTTGTATACTTGTGAATTATAAGTTAAATTAAAATTATTATAAAAATTATTAGGAAAGGGCTTACCAGGTTCAATAAATCCAGCAAGGCAAGTAAACATGCCCGGGGGAAATCTTTTCTGGCGGCCTAACAGGCATTTGGTACCATCTGGATGAATAACTTGCATGATTACTACTGGATCTGTTAAAAATAAAGCCATATGCATGAACAACAGGAAAAAAAATACTTATTATGTAAAGTCACTGTCTAGTAGGCTATTAAGGATGCATCTTCTGTAAGAATAAGACTAATATTTAGGTATAAGATTCTTTCTATCATGATATAGTTGATTATGGAGAGTTTCACAGAAACTGCATAAAATATAACCAATAATCTAAAGGAAGCCATTTTTGTCCCCTAAAATAATATTAGGAGTTTTAATATGCTAAGCATGTTGTTATTTAATTAGAAAAAGCTTGAGTACTATAAAATTAAGACATTATGTTGTACACCTGAAATTAAATAGTATGTTAATTATACTTTAATTAAGTAAAAATTTTGAGTAGATAAACTCATGCAGTTAAACTACATGGGAAAAAAATCAAATTTTACCATAGTAAATATTGTGAGTATACCTCTTCCTTCCATCCCAAACCTCAATCAAATGTTTTTAAAAGCTAATGTGGCTGTATGATTAGGCTTAAGCTAGTAAGAAAAGTTAAAATAAGTAACAGTTCTTCTAACCAGAAGACTAATCCAGCAAATTCTCACTAGATCATGACTGAGCACCAGAAATCAAAAGTAAAAGGCACTGAGCAGCAAAAACAGATGTCACTAGGCCATTACTTTATTCTCAGGAGACCTACTCAGGTGTTGCTGAATCTATCTATTCTTTTTTCACACAGTTTTAAAGAGCTCAGTTATCAGATTTCCAAACTCACAGCACACTCAAAGCAGCAATTAAGAGTGAAGACACAGGCAGACAACAGTGGTAATGAGAAGCTATCTCAGGCTGTCTTGCCTTGCTCATGGCTGAAATAGGCACTGAATTGTGGGGACTATTTTATTTATTTATTTTTGTCTTTGCCCTAACAGAAGCAGGATTGATGGGGTTTTGAAATTTTGTATTAAGCACATCAACTTTATATTGTTTTACCCAGAATTAAGAAATGACTAACTACATACAAATGCCCTTTACCTAGATGTTATGAAAGGAATACCTTAATACTTATGGTCTTAGTGGCTAAATTATACATGCTTTTAACAAATAGGTAAATCCCTCAGCAACTCAAGGTCTTATCTTTCCAGAATGTGTTATTTTCGAAGATTCCAGGTGGCTGTGGGATCACTGTAAAATAAATGGCTTACCAACTCTTGGATATGATGTATTATGAACACCATGGAGGCTAGGGCAGTCTTCTTTTATGCATACTCTTTTATAGCCACCCTCTTCGATTTTAGTTGTACTTCCACAGGTCGGACAGAATTTATATCGGCTATGCCAGGCAAGAACAGATCTTGCTTGAGCTACAACCCCTTTAAGAGAATAACACATTTTAATTCTATGACAAATGACAGATTATTATATAAGTAAAATATTCCTTCATCAAAACTAAGATACTGAATTTCTTAAAAGTAATGTGATCGGGGTTTTTTAGTGTTTCTATTTTTATGTTTATATTTCTTTTAAAATAAAAGATCTCATTTTAAAGATGACAGATTAAACGGCAATTTGACCTAATAAAATAGGACTATTATATAAGACAAATGTACTAACATCCATTATATACAATGTATTAACTCAGGGTTGTATTACAGGTGATTTTTAAATTTCAGATATGCATTCAGGTGTATAGTATAATGACTTTACAAATAGTAATTTTATGAGTCACTTTTATAAAAGTACATTATAAAGGCAGCTCCTTATTTAGATTTGAATTGTAAAGAAAATATCAATAGAAAAGTGTAGGAACCCATTTCTGCTTTCCCTGGTAACTAAGTCACTATTGATCTATGTCAGTGTAGAACATATCCTGTTTACAACTAGAAAGCAGAAAAATATGAAAAATATTGCATTTCTAATTAACTTTGCTTATTAAAAAATTCTTACTATTAGAAATCCTCGACTTATAGAACATACAGATTTAGAATATTTAGAATGTACACTAGAATATATAATTCTGGTTATATACTCTTTAACCTGGTACTTAAAGAAAGAAATTAATATGGCCTTACCAGAATTACTAAAATTGAGACAATGAGACTAGAAATGTTACATTTCAATGCCTGAAAACTGGCTCTCCCTTAAATATTCCATTTGTTCTAAGAATTTTTGAAATAAAAGAATCACAAATGATAATATTTTATTTATTTAATATCAAAAAGAGCACGTTTATTATAAAAAGGGAGAGAAGAGTTAAGGACACTTGCACAGACACAAATGGGCAGAAAGAGCTGCCCCCGAAAGGGACAGGTTTATAAAAGAGTGAACTTCACTCTCACAGGTGGGCAGACCTGGGCGGAGAGCTGCCGCTGCTGCTTTGCAAAGGAAGAAGGCTGGCAAAGACACACACCTGCGAGGTCACAGGTGGGCAGGAAAGCTGCTGCCAACAATATTACTTTAAAATTAGGAAAAATGAAACTAATAATCTATCCATAAATAAATATAAACCTAAATTATAATGAATCATGGGTAATATTATTTACTTACAACCTTACCTTATAATATGCAATTCACATGGAAGTATCTGTAGTATTTAAGCATCATTACAATAAGGAAAATTAATACTGAGTGTTTATTATGTTCCAAGCATCATGCAAATATGTTTGTATATTTTTAGTGTTTAGAGTGACCCTAAAAAGTTGGTACTATTACCTTGATTCTGAAGGAGGAAACTAAGGTGCAGAATAGTTATGTGATGGTATAAGCTACACAGTAAGTGGGATTGAGTTCCTTACTAGAAACAAATACAAGAGTTCCTTTTGATCTTAAAATTATATATACATCTCTAGGAAAATATGTTGTCTTTAAGAAGTACAGTGTTTTCTCTAGATAGGAATAAGTATTAAGCAGGTTCTACTATGTTACCTAAGAGAAAGAGATGCTGGTAAGTGACCATTTTCTAACCTCCCAACTATCCCATCTACCATAATCTATATAGTTTTGTTCTTTCATCCACTAATACCCTTTTGAAGTTTATCAACAACTTCATATTGCTAAAACCAAGATCCCTACAAAACAACTTTGTCATCTTATTTAAATTCTCAAATTATTTTACCATGAGTTCCAAGAAGGCTGTTCTCCTGGTTTCCACGAGGATATTCTGATTTCCTCCTACTTTCGGCAATACTGTCAATGTCACTTTTGCTGGCTTTTCCGCTCTAAATGACCTCTAAATTTGGGATTTAGGTATAATTCTGAAGCTCTCTTCCTTCCTTGTTCTCAACCATCTCAGTAATTTCAGTTAGTTAGAATTTAAATGCCAACTTTGTGTTGATGACTCCTAAATGGTATTTCTAGTTCACACCTCCCCTCTGTGTTCCAGGTTTTAATACCCTTCTCTAAAATTTACATGTCCCAAACCAAATTTTTAGTTACTTTCACGTTTATTTTGCTTTTCTGGCTTTACCCATAATGCTCTATTATTATTTTAAGATTTATTTATATGTTCATACAGAACTGGGGTACAGGCTAGAGGTGCAGGGGTGGTGAGAGGATTCACCAGAGACAAAGAGGGGAGCAGAACAGGCAGGTCGACGCAGTACACTGCTGAGGGGAGCAGTGGGAGTCAGGAAAGGTCTGCAGCACCATGTGAATCACCTCCGGGGCAGGGGGGATTGAACTCATGCTGAAGTGGCTTTAGCTTCTTGGTGCTGTGCTTTAACCCGCTGCGCCACCAGGGAGGGGCCCATAATGCTCTATTATTTTTATCAAGAAATAGTTTTCACCAATTTTATCTCCAAACTATATCTTGAATGTAACCACTTTTCTCCATCTCTGGTATTATGACCCACTTCAGGTCCAGGTCACTATCATCTCTCTCTTTTTATAGTTGTTTCTACCACTAGAACATTTTGAATTCTTGATTTCTCTGTACTTTATCAATCTAAGGCACACAACCTCTTATCAGAACTCAATTGTCTCTAAACTCTTCTTTACAAAATTCCTCACTTCAATACTTAATTGTTTTATGGTTTTGTTTCTTTTTTTAAAAAACACAGATCAGGTTACATTTAAATAGGATTTTGAATTAAGCCTCTACTTTCTTACCAGAGCACATGAACTAATATACTCAAAGACAGAGAAAACACAGTGATCAGGTCTTAGCCATGAAACTTGGTAGACAGCATGTGCTTATTAAGTATTCACTGAAGAATCAAATGAAACCAGAAAGCACAAATGTTAATTCTGGGGAAACTAATCTTGGCTGATTAAATCTGCTGTAATTTCCCAGGAGAGTAGTCCTCTGGTGTGAGAACTTCAGGAAGTTTCTAATTGTTTACTAGAAAAAAGTATGTCTTCACAAATATGCAGATACATACAACTCCAACCCACCTCCACTTAGCAGATTATTACCAGTGCAAGTAAATGGTGTTCCATACTTACCTGCTTCTTTTTCTTTCAACTGCAGAAGAGCTGGCATTGGAGGATGAAGAAAATAACAATTTTCATGTCTTTGCTTAAATTCTTCGGCAGCAACAGGATCTATATCTAGAGCAAACCAGGCAACCAACCCATCTTCTTCACCTCTTCGGACTTCCCCAGCATAATTAAATAACTCTTTTCTTATTTCAAGTTCTACTCCAAGGAATATCAAGGTGATTTTCTCAGGGTGAGCCAAATAATCTTTTATGTCTGTGTAGTTCAGTTGACAAAGTTTGACTTCAGGCTGTTGAGAACTTTCTTTATTGCCACCTAGAGTAACCAAGGGTTTTAAATCTGAGAAAAGAATATAAACTGTGGTTGGATGGCTTTCTTTAGCTAGTAGCCAGTCAGAATTAGTTCTTTTTTCACTTTTCCGGTCTAGTAGTGTCCTGCTAAAATAATTTTCACATTCTTCCACATCACTGGTTAGAAACCAAGGCTTCTTTCCACCTTTCGCATTAGCTAGTAAGTTAGCTATATGCTTATAACCCCAAAATTTAGCAATATCTAGTGCGGTCTGCTTTGATTTATTGACGATGGATCTGTCACACCTACAGATGGAAGGAAAAGTAAGATAGGAAATAAATATTTTCCTCAGTATTTAGTCTAAAAAAAAAAAACAACAAACTTCCATATACACATGCTATTCCTCTAGTGATTA